AACACATTTATCAACATTTTTGGAAAGTTAGTTAAGAATTATATTTAAAGCACTTGCCTATGGAAAAATAAGCCAAGTAGCACTCATTTAAAGCTGTTATAACAATTTTGCATAATCTTGTATCAGTTCCAACTGAAAATATTTCTATCGTGAGCCTATCAGTTACATAAATATTTGGATATCTAAACAGTCGCTTCAAATTTTTTTAGTGGAATAAGAGATCCAGCATTTCTTTCTTGGTTTACATAGTATCTGTCAGGCTAAATGTTCTACATATATATTTTTGACCTACATCCTAGAAGTATTTTTGCATGGTACTAAATGAATACAATCCTACAGATCTGCACACAGGAATACATTTCCTCTTATAAAGGGACATTATCCAAGGCCTTAAGTAAAAAGGGGCCTATCCTTTGTTTTGTGCAGTTGGAGTCCAAGTTCCTTTATGTTATAGTGAACAAGAACAATAAATGAAGCAAGTTTTAACCCCAGGGAAATTCTTTCTGTTCTTATTAAAAAGCAAACATCTCTGCATGCACACACACACACACACACACACAAACACACACACGTGAACAAGCACACACCACCTTTCCAACTCCATCCCTTCCCACTCTTAGTAATAGGAGGCAGAGAGCTACAATTTACCATTATGCAGAGATATAGGAGTTCAATATCACAGTCCCCTATTGTACTTGGGAGAGGATTTCTTTGTGTTTTCCTTGATAGAGTTTGCATATTGTGCTTCCAGTTTGCCCTTTGAAACATTTGTTCTCCATATCACAGGGTAGCTAATTGGACTAACAATCTTAGCTGTCAAGAGCAATTTTAGATGTGATACCCTTTCTGTGTGATTATTTTAAAACTGCTGGAGGAAAGAAGGAGACAGCCCTTCATCGGGTCTGCCATGGTAAAGACCTGATTTTTCAAAAGGGTCTGTTAATTGGACATGTGTAATACCCAAGGTGCAATGAAAAGATAAGACAGCAGTTAGAGCCTGCAAAGTGAATGAGTTTTTTCAGGTTCACTTGTGATTATTTCGCCACCTCCACTTTGGCTGGTGCCCTCATATGTTTTATCTCCCTTCAGCCTAGCCCTAAAGGGTGTTTTTATAGATCTCCATGGAATTTTCTCAGGATTGCCTGTCTTCTGGTTTTCAATATAAATATACTTGGAATAAAATAAGCCCAACATGTTTACCTATGCATAGATGGTTAATAGGAATCTGTGATGATATTTTTGGAATGAAAATTGAATTGTATTTGTATTTAGAATGTATGTTTTTTCTAGTTATCTAAGTAAACCATAGATATGCTTACTCATTATCAATGTATGAAATACTGTAGAAGTTTTCTTGAACTCAATTTCTTTCTTTCTGTTGGTATTGACATCAAGTATATGGTACAATTAAGTATTTTTTTCTTTATTGATTAAGGTATCACATATGTGCCCTTACCCTCCCTCCCACTACCTCCCCCCCCCCACACTCATGCCCTCACCCGCCTGGGGAGAGATCAACCAAGTATTTTTAAGTGCCAAATTTACAATTTGCTATAAAAATTTTAAATGTTTACTTTGAGGCTAAAAGACTAACTTCTTAATAGTCCTAATCTGATTAATCAGTATAATTTCACAATTAATACAAAAGATTAGAAAACAATAAATATCAAGAAGTTCCCACAAGTTAAACCTGGAATTTAGACTCAGAATTAATGCAAGACACTTACATTGTGAAATTTAGATGTAACGGCATATAACTTCTAACTTGAAAGCTTGACATAAATCTATCTTTATATGCGGTATTTAGGGTAGGAAATAAGGATTACTGATTTGGTCAAGCACAGTGGGGGAAAGGAATAAATACCAAAGATATGTGGAATTAACTGTAAAATTTTATACATATTACTATGTTCCCTTATTGAAAAGGATCCTAGGGTCTGTGATTCCTAAACTGAATATTTACAAAATATCGAGAGAGCGTTAACAAATTTATAAGTATATATTTTTCTTTGACACATTAAAAATAAGATTAAAATATCATCAGGCATTGCATGTGGGCAGATGTAACAAACTCACTGGCTTTCTTACCTCAAAGTGTTGACATCAGCACTCTGGGAAGACTGTTTCTGTAAATGCATTTCAAGTCCTTTAAAACTTTTCACATATGAGATTCATAAAGCAATGATGTATAGTATGCCAAATAGACAGTTCTTATTTTCATGCAATAATGGTTAGCACAATATTTTCAGTTGATCTCTTTTCTATTTATAAACCCATTGTTCCATTTGTAACAAAGATAACATTATCAAATTATAAACACTTTGATATATAAATAAAAGTAAATGTTTACATTAAATATCATAAGCACATTCTTCATATTTTATTCGTTGTGGTTTAATTATTTTGTATAGATATACCTAAGTCTTGAGCTCTAAAATCTAGGCTAAATCATGAAATTAAAAGGCAGAAATAGAGTCAGAAATAAGGGTTTGGTTATTCATTCAAGATGTGAACTTGGCAAATCACTTCCCCTTCTTGTCGCCAGTTCTTTTCATTCATAGAGTGAATCTGTTGGCCTCATTTAGTGGTTTTCATTTTACAGCAATAGAAACATCTTGTCAGACAAAATCTCATGCATAATCTCAAAATGTATAAAAATAAATAATAACAATGGAACTTTTCTTAAAGCAGCAACAATGCAGATTCAGAAAGGAGGGCAGAAAGGTGAGGTTAGGAGACCCTGAAGTCCAACCCTATATGCTGGTCAGCACCTTCCCATATGACCTATTAAAGATGGCTCTAGGCTACATCAAATAATTTATCAAATTCCATGGAGCACATTTTGAAAATCACGCAATTATGTGATCATTATGTTTCTTTAAAATTTCAAAATTATATAATTGTCAATTTCATAAATTGAACAGATTTGTCTGTTAAAGTACTGAAGTCCTATTGTCTTCCTACAAAAAAAAAAGAGAGAATAATGCATTAGGATTTCGATCTATGCTAAAAAGGATTCAAAGATAGAAGGCCAACATTTCACACTAGAGCCACTTACTTAAGTATCCCATCATACTGCTCTATAATACCAAATAGGTCACACCTAGGAAATGAATAGATTGAAGAAACTCCAAATAACCCTTCAATGTTCAGAAAATTGCATAGTCTTTTAATTAAATTTAAATTCTCTCATCTATTTTTATACTTCACTGGGGAAATGAGAGAAATGATAAATTTAAAGACAGAATGTGTTTAAATGATGATTTCCACTTAGATTACCAGAAAGGATACACTTCTGGACAGAATACACATATAAAACTACTAGAGGCCCAGTGCACGACTTTTGTGCCTCAGCCCAGTCTTCACCCTTTCATAGCTCGGGAGCCCTCAGGGGATATCCAACTGATGGCTGCAGTTGGACATCCTTACTGCTGCCATGGAGGCGGACCGCTGCGCTCCCCAGCCATCAGCCCAGCTTGTGGCTGAGTGGCACTCCCCCTGTGGGAGTGCACTGACCACCAGGGGGCAGCTCCTGCATTGAGCGTCTGCCCCCTGGTGGTCAGTGTGTATCATAGCGACCGGTAGTGACACTGTTCTGGTCTATTTGCAAATAACCCTTTTATTCTATAGTATTAGACTCTTAGTCACAATGTATAGCAATAGAAAATGAGGCAGAACAGAGCATATTCTACAAAATAGTTAATTGCTCGGGAGAAGAAAAGTCTATGGGAGACCAAGTTCTTCACATGGGTCCATTTTCTTTCCCAGTTACTGATGCGGGTGATGGTTCTGAGGCAGGAGTAGAGTTCTCACTGTGACTAATTTCTGATGTCCTCTATGAGCATGGGCTCTCTAACAACCCAAAATTAAGGAAATGACTAAAAGCAAACTTTTAATAATCCCCAAAGGACCCAGAGTGAAATTGCCCCAGCAGTTACCTAATATAGATAGTATGACACAGTTCCCCTGAGTGCAGATCATTACTTTGCAAAAATCCTGTACGGAGACCTACTTTATCCCACTTCAGGGAAGTTCCTGTACTAGATCTTGAAGTGTCTTTCTGGAACGTAAAGCAGTCCATAGTTTCCTTATGGTAGCACTGTTAACTCTTGTGTCATGTTTAGGTCCATGGGGCCGATGCATGGGAGACGACTGTGGTCCAGGAGGCATCCAGACCCGGGCGGTGTGGTGTGCGCACGTGGAAGGATGGACGACGTTGCATACAAACTGCAAGCAGGCCGAGAGGCCCAGCAACCAGCAGCATTGCTTCAAAGTTTGTGACTGGCACAAAGAGCTGTACGACTGGAGGCTGGGACCCTGGAATCAGTGCCAGCCTGTGATCTCCAAAAGTCTGGAGAAGGCCCAGGAGTGCGTGAAGGGGGAAGAAGGCATTCAGGTGCGAGAGGTCACGTGCATGCAGAAGGAGAAAGACACGCCCGCGGAGGATATCATTTGCGAGTACTTCGAGCCCAAGCCGCTCCTGGAGCAGGCCTGCCTCATCCCCTGCCAGCAGGACTGCATCGTGTCTGAGTTTTCCGCCTGGTCCGAGTGCTCCAAGACGTGTGGCAGTGGGCTCCAGCACCGGACCCGCCACGTGGTGGCGCCGCCCCAGTTCGGGGGCTCGGGCTGCCCGAACCTGACGGAGTTTCAGGTGTGCCAGTCCAGCCCGTGCGAGGCTGACGAGAGCCCGCACAGCCTGCACGTGGGGCCCTGGAGCTCGTGCGGGATGCCCCACCCCAGGCAAGTGCGGCAGGCCAGGCGGCGTGGGAAGAATAAGGAACGGGAACGGGACCGAGGAAAAGCAGTGAAGGATCCAGAGGCCCGGGAACTTATTAAGAAAAAGAGAAACAGGAACAGACAGAATCGTCAAGAGAACAAATACTGGGACATCCAGATTGGATATCAGACCAGAGAGGTTACGTGTACGAACAAGACGGGGCAAGCTGCTGATTTGAGGTAACATTTCCTTACCATTAACTACTCCGCGTCTCTCTGTCAACACGCTGGGCTAGAGAGGCCTTCAGACAAGCTCTGCTACCTCCTGAAACCCACGTGCACACAACCCAGGGTGCAACGTTTAGCACTTTAAGCTTTGTGCGTTTCCTGGCATTATTTCTATTTTGCTCATGCTTAGCAGTGTACAACTTGAGCTCATTTCAATTTTCTTATTAAAATGAGAGATTCTCTGAGAGCTGATACTGCTTCTTTAGGTCAATAGTGCTGTTTACACCTATAATGGGAAAAAACAAATACATAAAGGCCAGAGTTTTGGGATTTTGAATTCAGATATTTTTTTTACTTAGAATAAGACACACTTGTAATCTCTCCAAGTTTATAGTATTTTGATAATTACCCCATAAACAAAATCTAAACAACCACCCAGGGAGCTATAGCTAAGAATAATTCTCTTCCACATTTTATAAAATGGAATAACTTTCCCCAGAGAAGAAAAGGGGAAATCAGCAGAAATTAAGATAAGTAGATGGTACTTAATCATGAGTTTTCTAGTTTAGAAAATATGTAATTAATTGACTGCATTTTTTAGACCAGAATTATTTGTCAAATTATCTCTGAGTAAATAATGACAATATTATGAAACAACTGTCTCATGTGAGCTTTATTGTGAAAATATTCATTGAGGATCATTTATTGAGGATGAGCTAAACTCGCAGAGGTTCTCAACCTGTGGGTCGCGACCCCTTTCGCAGTTGAACAACCCTTTCACAGGGGTTGCCTAAGACCATCCTGCATATCAGATATTTACATCACGATTCATAACAGTAGCAACATTACAGTTACGAAGTAGCAACGAAAATAATTTTACGGTTGGGTCACAACGTGAGGAACTGTATTTAAAGGGCCAGAAGGTTGAGAACCACTGAGCTAAAGGATTTGATGTTTTTCGGATATTCTGAATTTTGCTTTTGGATAAGTCATACCATCTGGGAGTGGCTTAGGTGAATAATATGCATAATTGCCTTTTCTGAAATATTTATGCAGTTATGATTTGGACTGAACTGAGAGAAATTATGGTAACGTCATTCAGAATTTTATTTCATATATATTGTAGAAATGACATTGAAATGTCACCTACTTCATCACACATCTGTTCTTTAATTAAAAGCACGTAAGAAACTTCACTGCAGTCTCAACCCAGTGCTTCTGGTGAGCAGCTGGGTTGTTTTCCTTATGCCCCCTGGAAGTCCTGTAACAGATGACATTTTCCTCTTTACCTTGGCTGTTGGGAACATAATAGGACTGTGTGACATGCATGTTGTATGCTAACATACTCCACTGGCTTCATCTGTTTCTCATACTCTTATTTTTCTTCGCTCATTTTTGCCTAGTGTTTTTCTGTCTACAGCTTTTGAAAGTTGGTTTGAAGCCTTTTCCATTGCAGGATATAGTGTAAATTAATGGACAAACAAACAATTGACTTATCTAAGACAAGAATTTCTCTCAGTATAGCATTGTTCTAGTCACTGATTTTAGGATATTTGCTACTCCCTCCCTTCTTTGGACTGACACAGTTGTATTTTCTCTCAGCACTACAGTAATTTGCTCTTCCTCGATTTTGGTGTTGTCAGCCCAACTCCTTTCCTGGTCTTGCTAAGGGCTGCTTGCTCTCCTGCCTACATTGTTCAGGTTCTTTAAAACTCCTTATGTGTGTGTGTGTGTGTGTGTGTGTGTTCACCTCTGATTCTGTGTCAAGTATACTTTCAAGTCACTTCCTGTTTTTATTATTTTATGACTGTCCTTATTCTGCTGATTTCTTGAGTCTCCAAGACAACTTAAGTTATCTCCTGATGTCATTGGGTTAACATGGTGTAGACATTTAATTTAATTTTGACTACTCAATTAAGAGTGTAATCAGGATAGTATCTCCTACTGCATAGAGCCTCACATACCCATGCAGCTGTTCGAAATAAATATATTTAAAAATCTGTAGATCATTTATCAGGTACTTATATTAGAAATACCATATCTAATTATTCTAATAAAATGATAGTGCATGTATGTTGTAACTTATTAGGGCATAGGTGAAACGTTAGGTTCAACAAATTTGTTATTAAATTTTTATTTAAGAATCTAATCTAATAAAAGAGAAACATGCAAATTGGCCACACCTCTGCTACACACCAAGCCACACCCACCAGCCGATCAGAGTAACTATATGCAAATTAACCCAACCAAGATGGCATCTGGCAGCCACGGAGCTGGAGCAAGCAGAAGCTTTGGTTGCCCCAGCGATAGCCTGCCCTGGCAGGCTGTGGCCTCTGCACAAGGCAACAAAGTTTCAATTATAGAAGATAAATAAATCAAAGACACCTGCTTCCAGCTAGCTTCCACTGGGAGCTTGGGTGGCTGGGGGCCGTGGCCAACCTGCAAACAGCCATCAGCCCCTCACCCAGGATGGCCACACCCTCATGGGTGAGGGTCCTTGCTGGGGGGCTTGGCCAACCTGCAAACAGCCATCAGCTCCTCACCCACGCTGGCCAGGCACCCCAGCGGGGACCACCAACCCTGAAGGGGCTGTGGCCAACCTGCAAATAGCCAACAGCCCTCACCCAGGCTGGCCAGTGGAGACCACCCCACCCTGAAGGGGCTGTGGCCAGTATGCAAACAGCCATCAGCCCCTCACCCATGCTGGCCAGGCACCCCAGTGGGGACCCCAACCCTGAAGGGGGTGTGACCAGTCTGCAAACAGCCATCATCCCCTCACCCAGGCTGGCCAGGCACCCCAGCAGGACTCCCTGGTGCTCAGTGCGCTCCCACAGGTGGAGCTCTGCTCAGTCACAAGCCAGGCTGAGGGCTACCAGTACAGCGGTGGTGGGAGCCTCTCCCACCTCCTCAGCAGTGCTAAGGATGTCTGACTGCAGCTAGGCCTGCTCCCTGCTGGCAAGTGGACATCCCCTGAGGGCTCCCGGGCTGCCAGAAGGATGTCTGACTGCCAGCTTATTCCCAATCCCCCGGGAAGCGGGCCTAAGCCAGCACGTGGTCAACCCCCGAGGGGTCCCAGACTGTGAGAGGGCACAGGCCGGGCTGAGGGACTGCCCCCCCCCCAGTACACAAATTTTTGTGCACCGGGCCTCTAGTTATATATAAGAATATACATGAATAAGCATATATGATTAGGAAAGTTAATGTGTTAGTAACGAAGAGACAAAAACCAGGTATTTTGCCCTAAATTTTGCTCAAATATTAGAGTACAACAGTTGAGCTTCTAAAATGAAAAGTAAATGGATCACACCATCAAAACACAAGGCCACAGACTATGGACTCAGTGATTAAATTTAAAGTGTCTCCTCATATCAAATTGAGAAAAAATTTTATCATGAAAGAGGGTGAAAAATTAATTACTATGGCTTAAAAACCTTATTACAATAACTAAATGAATTTAGATAAATAAGCCTATGAGTATTGTTGAAATAGTTTGCAGGCAAATAAAAATTTTAGCAAACTTACTGCTAGGACTTCCAAGTTAAAGAAGATAGATCTGGCCTGCTTCTGTTTTATAAACAGACTGAAATCAATAAGGATAAAAATGCAAACAGAAATCCCATTCTTTTATGTTAATAAGAAACAATCATAGTCCCAAACTACTAGTGGCAGAGAAGATTTGGAGAATGTGGTAAAATTAGATGGAACTGAGGAATGAAACTTAGAGCAGCACTATGTCTTTGCAGCTTTTATGAACTCAAAATCTCTGAGTAGCCTGAACTTTCGAAGGGGCCAAGCCGATGATACCACCTTGTGCATGGCCTGGTCTGTGTTAGTGAATGGGCTGCAGAAGAGTCTTTGAGTTCTGTTTGAAGACAGAACGGCATAATAGGCAGGCCTGAACAAGGACACTGTGCTATTACCACCAAGGAGAGGCTATCTGTTTGAGGAACTGAGGGATTAAAGTTTGATGACCTGTGTATGGGAAATCTATCTTCCTTGGAAACCTAAAACTTCTCTAAAATAAAAAAACTATTTAAAAAAACTGGGTAAAACATGAAGAGGAGAATGGTTTTGTAACCCCTAAAATACTGACACTTTGAAGTATTTTTCTATCATTTTGTTATCAATTTGATTTTCTTACATCTTTATTTAAATTCAGCCTTACCATTTCAAATAGTAATGAATAATATGCAAGTCATTTTCTATTTTTTTTAAACTTAATGATTTTCTGACATACTCTTTTAACTTCAAGATTAAATCTGTTAAGCAGTAAATTGTATTTCTTTTCAACACAATCAGTCTCTTCATTTCTGATTCCTATTTTACCTTAGAATACTAGTTGTTGGCCCTGGCTGGGGAGTTTAGATTGTTAGAGCATCATCATGCTACACCACGATTTCAGATTCAATCCCTGGTCAGTGCACATACAAGAATCAACCAATGAATGCATGAACAGGTGGAACAACAAATGGGCCTTTCTCTTTCTCTCAAATCAATTTTTTTTAAAATATATATTTTATTGATTTTTTACAGAGAGGAAGGGAGAGAGAGAGAGAGTTAGAAATTTCGATGAGAGAGAAACATCCATCAGTCACCTCCTGCACACCCCCCACTGGGGATGTGCCCGCAACCAATGTACATGCCTTTTACCAGAATCGAACCTGGGACCTTACAGTCCGCAGGCCGATGCTCTATTCACTGAGCCTAACCGGTTACTGCTCAAATCAATTTTTTTAAAAAGGAAAACTAGTTGTTAACTACTCCATTCTTTTCTTTAAGGATTGCTCTCCACAACAGAGATATAAAAGTTTGAATATAAAACTATTGTCTTTACAAAGGCCTGAAAATTCATTGAATCAATAAGAGAGGAATTTAAGTAATGGATAAGTAGGGGAAATAAGTACTAAATAAGAATAGGGAAACCTATGTACTCATGGCTACACAATGTTGAATAAGTCATTTAAACTTTCTGGGATTCAGTTTTCTCATCCATAAACCATATGTGTATGTGT